TATTCGGTGGCTTTCAACACCAGATGATCTGTGTTTTGAACCTGTATGCTCCACACTGGTTAGTCGTCATTATCTGTATCTGTATCGGTTTTATGTGTAAATTTCTGATTTACTTCATTTTGTATATTGCTTTGTGTGTTGTCTGTTGTTCTGTCTGTACAGCACTTTGGTTGGCCTTGTCGCTGTTTTAAGTGCTCTATAAATAAAATGGTATGGTATGGTATCCAGTGTTCCATGGCCAAGACAGAACCTGCATTGTTTCTCCTGGGTCTGAGGTTTACCAACGATCGGACTCAATTCTCCAGTACCCCTGAATAGACCTTACTAGGGAGGCTAAGAAGAGTGATACCCTTGTAATTGGAGTGCACCCTCTGGTCCCCCTTTTTGAAGAGGGGAACCACCACCCCAGTCTGCCAATCCAGTGGCACTGCCCCCGATGTCCATGTGAAGGCTTGCCAACCAAGACAGCCCTGCAACATCTAGAGCCTTAAGGAAATCAGGGAAAATTTCATCCACCCCCAGAGCCCTGCCACCGCGTAGCTTTTTAACTACCTCGGCGACCTCAGCCATGGTTATGGACAGACCAACCTCGAAGTCCCCTGAAGTTTAATGCTACTTAGACTGTTACTTATTTTTCTGGAAGTAATTTTTCCAAATTTTCCTGTAAGATTTAGAGCATTTAAATTTAAACACATGGTACTTTCAAAAATCTTGAACACCCTGAGTCATTTTATCTCTCATTTTCTATTTTAAATCCTTCACTGAAGTGAGAGCAGCTAACATGAACTATAACATACGTGTTCGCACATCCTCTGACAATCATTGCTGTTTCCATTACGAAATGCTGTGATCCAATGGATGAACCAGTAACTGGACTTTGTCACCTGTTTGGCTTTGGGTTCAGTGATTGTTCCTTTCTTATTTTCATGTTAATATGAGACCTAACATACTTTTTAGACAGGAACATAAACACACACAAAGCTGTTTCCAGTTCTCCTTTAATACCTAACTGCCAGCTCATCCTTCCTTTACTGTTTCACTCTGAGGCGTCCGTGTCCATCCCACATATCCAAGCAGCAAAGATGTCCCATCTGTTAATCATCTCAGAAGAAACACATGTCCATAGTGTAATTTGGTTGCTTTAGGACATTTTATTTCTTTAAATAGCTTGAATTTAACAAAAGACTGCAAACATATCCTGAACTATCAAATGACAGGCTGGCAGATTTTGGCTTTTGTCAGCGGACTGGCTGGACTTGGTGCCACCATCGGTGCCACAGTGTCCAATGAATGGAGGGCCACAAGCCGAGCATCCTCAGTCATCACAGCCACTTGGGTACTGCAGGGTCTGTGGAACAATTGTGCTGGAAATGCCATTGGAGCTCTGCACTGCAGACCACATCACACCATGTTTCAGCTGGAAGGTAAGATCAGGAGGTGTCTGCGCTCAGTCGCTCCAAACCGAACCTTCTTAACACAAGTCTTAAGCGTTTATTCGTTTAAGAAGCCTTCACTGTTAAATACTAATTGATAGCACATCTACAAGGTGCATGGGGCATTGTGTGCAGATGTTCCCAGCATTCCGAAAATGTATAGTTCATTTTAAAGTGTCAAGATGCTGACAAAATTTCTTTAAAACTTTACAGTGTAATTCTGTTACATACTGTAAATTGCAATGAGTCTAATATTTTTTGATAATTCAGTTGTGACCGTTTCTACACGAGCAATTTAAGAGAAGAATTTGTTTAAGTTATTATAAGTAATTTGTTGTAAACAACAAAAAAAAAAAATGTAATTAGGAATATCCCATTCAGTTTATTTTTCAGGTCTCTCTTGTAAATGAGTCCTCGAGACTCAATGGGATTTACCTGTCTAAATAAAGGTCGAATGAATTTGTAAGAATTAGGACTTTTGTCATAAAGTTCTTTAGTATTTACACATTTTACTCTTTCCCGCATAAGATTTTTTTGTGTGTGTGCGTGTGTGTGTGTGTGTGTGTGTGTGTGT